TTTTCTTCCTGGTTTTATTTTGAGACACGCCGGGTGCAAAATTGCTTCTACAGATTGTTTACATTTGCTGTGAGAAATCATTTCAGAACGCGGGATAGTGAAAGAGTCATGGGTGGATGACGTCAAACTCCAGGGGCATTTTCTTTCTTGTTTGGCGTGTCTTCATTGTCATTTAGTCTGACTGTATGACAGCAAAGATCTTACAGTGTAATATTGGAGCTATGTTCATGCAGTCTGACATGCTACAATCATTCAGGATTATAAAAAATAAATAAATTGCACGGTGTGAGCCAGCCTTTAGAAAAAAAGTCAAGATACTCTTGGTGGGTTCATGATAAAAGTGACATTTCCTGGTCTGAAAAAATCATTGTACTTATTAAATTTTTTTACAAATAAATTAATTGATTGATTTATTTAATAACAATTTATTAATGAGTTAAAATATTTGAAAAATATCATGGAATATGTTTCAAATTCAGTCTAAACTTGAAACTAGAGTACTGAACTTTAGAAAATATTATAGTGCACAAGGATATTTTCATGCAATTTTTCCTATATATCTGGAAAGAAATGTGCACAAAAGATTACTGGCACTGGGTTGTTAAGATGTCAGAAGCATTCCAGCATTGAGCGCAGATTTCTGTGTCCTCCTGCCGTGGTCCTTTGCTCATATATGAGCTCACATTTGCTGGCAGTGTTGACTGGTCTTTTTGAGTTAGAGCCAGTCTGCGCTGCTGGTCTCATTAACCCAGCCCTATGTGACTGGTTCTGCTTCTTTGTTTATATTCCATTCTTCTTCTTTTTCCTTTGTGCTTTTCTCCCACGCATCTTATTTTCTCCATACATACTTTATAGTCAATTAAGCAATTTGTTGATCAGAAACTAAACTCTCCCATTATTTACTTATTATTTTACCATACCCATATATTTTTATTTTTATCTATGTAACTCAATAGAACATTGTCTGAGACAAGAAAGTTTTACAAGGTTTAGAGGGTTAGTTCACCCAAAAATGAACACTGACCATAGTATTTTGGATAAAATTGGAGAGCTCCCTCGTCCTTAATAAAGAGTAATAGTCCTGACTTGTTCAAAGTGCAGTAAATGCAAAAAAAAAAAAGGAACTAAACATAAAAAAAGTGATGTAGGCCAGTCATGTAAGCCAGCTGATTTCAACTAGTTTTTAACATGGCATTCAACATTATCAACAAGTGATAAAGAAGTATGTGGGTTTTGGCATCAGCCCATCTATTGCTGTTTTGTTCATGAAGTTATACATGAAGAGTATGTGTATGTAAAATGTGTATTTACTGTAAACTCATTTCACTCATTCCAAAAACTGCAAATTCCTGCCAATGGCATTTCGTATTAAGCTTGGTTAAATTCCTCTCTGAAGTAGGAGGTTTTTGGTACTTTTACTACAATGCAAACACAGCAGAGGGTGAGTATTTCTGCCAACAATTGTGAAAGTCTCTACAGACTGCTTTAATAGTGCTTTAAAGTCTGTTAGCAACACAAATGTTTGGCAGGAAAATTCTGTTTTCACATGCATTTTGTCAGACTTTTACATTCAATTAATTTGCTTTTAACAATGAGGAAAAAAGTTAAATTAGGCTCACTCTCAAACAGTAAATGATGATTCCAAAAATGTATACACTACAAAGTATCACTTCTGAAGGATCTGCTGTTACTATTGTTTAACAAAAAAGTATTGTATGTAAGAACACATTTTAACCAATGCTCTAGGTTTGTGACTAAAAGCACAAATCTTATTGGTTGGCCAGATCTCTTCGCAGGCCTTTTGAAACATTTCACAACATTTTTTGTTTTGTTTTTTAGTGAACAGGCCTTTAAAGTGTTTTGTCCTTTGTTACATGTTGAAAATGAAGTGTAGAGCATATTCTCCTGTTCAATAGGTGTAAAAAAGTTACATTCAAGTGAGCTTTTACCAGACAATTTTAAAATTTGTGGGGGGAAACCTAAAAAGGTATTTGTAAAGCCAAAAATAAGCGAGGAGGAGAACGAGATAATAGATGACAACAACAAAATATTATCTGAGAAAGAACATGGTGCCAAAACTTTGCAAGTAGTGAGAGCGCTCAGTAGAGACATCTTCGAACGGAAGACAAATTTAAGAAAATAATTCAGCCAATTTAAAGAAGAGTTTAGAAATTATATGAAAACAGAAGTAGACAAACTGAAAACTGAAGTTAGAAGGCATTTCCGAGGATAATCAGTCACATGGCACAAGACTAAATGAAGCAGAGGAGCGAATAGCTGAACTCCAGTTGGCAAACAATGAACTAAAGGACGCTTTATTACATATCTTCAAAGATTAAAATAAGGAATCTTGAGGGCCGATCATAGCTAAATAATATTTGAATATATGGTATTAAAAAAGAATGGAAAGGTTAAGTTCATCACCTCCCTGCTGTAAACAGAACTTTTATTGGAGTCTGATTTAGACCTGCAGATACAAAGAGCAAACATATCTAGAGCTCAAACAAATAACACTTCGAGACCGATTATCGTCAATTTCCTGCTTTACAGCAGAAGATCAAAGGCCTCATGAACAAAGACTTGCGTTGAATTCATAGTAAAAAAATTGCATATGCACAAAGCTGTAAATGTGCGTACGCAGTAAAAAAATCTGATTTATCAAACACTGCTTACATGGAACCCCATGCATATTCTCTTTGTACATAAAAATTTGACACGCCTCATGTTAACCCAGTTTGAATCCAACGTCTGTTGAACTCATTCTTCTTTTTTTCCCCACTACCTATCAGATTTTGCTTACTCTTCATCACGAGGAAGACAAGTAGGAATCACTAATAAGTGTATTATGTTAAGCGCATTTGAGTATCACATATTATTTGCACTTTTATTGAATAGAAATGTTTCCGATTCACGTATGCAAATTCATCTTCAGATGTCGCCTTTATAGCAATGTGCGTGCAGTCGATTACATTGGGAAAACCGGCGATTGCTGCAAATTGCACTCTAATGTTTGGCTGGTCAACTGCATGGTATGGAAATCTTATATACCTGCTAGACTTGTGGATAATCCTGTCCCATACAGCTGCCATTGCACGGCTCAAAGATACATTGTAGTGTGCAATTTAACACAATTGCCTCTAGGAGTCACCAAAGGAAATAAAACTAACACACACAAGAAATGCACGTACGCCAGACATGAAGTTGACATGAGTGGACCAACGCACATTGTCACGTTAATTTCTGCTGCCAGGGCAAAATAACCGCAATATGATGGCAAGCCGATTTTCATTGCACACAATTTCCCCTTTAATATTAATACAAAACTGAAAATAAAGAATATAAAGAAGTAAAAAGTCCTCTAGGAGAACAAAATCCAATTTCAGACACCCTACCCAGCCAGTATGCGAATACACTGGAAGACAGATCCACAGCTTTATGAAAACCTGACTGAAGTTGTAAAAAATGTAAAAAAGAGAGGATATTTTTTTCAGATGTCTCATTGTAGATAAGGCCTGTTTCTTTTTGATCACAGTTGTTATTTAACAAAAAAGAAACATTTTCGCCTGTTTAAAGTATATGCATATCATTCTCTGAGGAGAGTGGAACTGATTTGCCTAAAAAAGTGAGAGAGTTGATCCAGATGTTGAACAATGTAAATATAAAGACTGTGAAGATGGATTGCATTTGCTTCGCTCTGCTAAATCAGTTGCTTCTGTGATAGGATGAAGAGTGACAAGATAGCAACTGCTGGCCCTCTACGAGATCTTCTGAAGTTGAAATTAAACACACCCATACATGGGCTGTCAGGAAGCCATTAAGACTGCTGTAAGATGCGTTGACAATGTGACCACCTAAGAAGTCACCTAAGAAACCTGTGTATTGGACTGACGGTAATATCTGTGACGTCCCTCACACTTCAGCCTTGTTGAGCTACGCTGAAAATGGAAAGGAACAATCAACCCTGCAGAAGAAAAAGAGTAAGACACACAAAAGTGATGTCAAAGTACTGATGAAAAACAATTGTAGTCACCTTGCGTTTTCAGTTCTGGGCCAAAAGCTTTTTTTGAACACAACATAAACTAAGTGTGTGTATTTACTTGTGTGGGGAATCAACTGTCTGTATTAGAAAGTATACAAAGCAGCGTTTGCTTACCTTTTAGAATATAAATCATACTGTCCTGAGTACTTACTTAGTTTCTGGTGACTGTTTGCCTGAAAATATTATAAACATTCTTCATTCACATGTGCAGATGAGAACTGGTCCCCGGATAAGAGACTAATTTTTCCTAACATTTTTTTCTTTAGTTTTTATCCAACTTTATCTAACTTGGTGACCTGGTGGATATAGAAGTCTTTGCCACTGTCAACTATTGGCTTGCAATGTTGTGGTTAGTAGGGCTACCCAGATTTTAATCACAAAACTGAACAGCAGTCAAATCCTGCTTAATAGGGCTAACTCCCACAATGCCTTTAACTAGAGCTAATGTGTGGAACGCACCACTATGTCACCCTTTCCCCCCTCTGGTTTTTATTGCCCCACTCAATGCAAAATGGGAACCAGTTTTTCTGGTATGGAAACTGAGTATACCAACAGGATATACATGCTTTCCATGAACTCAGGAACAAAATGTGGGTTGACACAGAAAGATAAATATATATTATACCAAAAAAGCCTGATTAAACTGGTTTGAGTTTGCAAACCTGAATTTGTTAAGCTATATCAAAGGGCCTTTGGCATAGCACTCGTCTAACACTATGTCCTAACAACACACAATGCGACAATATTCCACTGACAAACAATTTGGTCTGCACCAGATATGACACCATAAAATCAGTTAAATATACAGACTCATCTCATGAGGAAACATAACTATTTAACATCATTTTTAATATAAATAATCTAAATATAATATATGTCGGTGTATTCTGTCCAGTTCTCTGGAGCCACCCTGGATTTGGCCTGTCCTGCTGGAGAATCGACCCTCTGCCTTGCTGTTGCCCTTATTTTGTATTACCTGGTCTGGACCAAAGACTTGCTTTATTTTGATTGGCATTTAGCCCATTCCTGATTTTCAAAATGCCATGCTAGTTTCAAAGTGCCATGCTAGGCTGCTATGAGGAGGAACTGGCTTCAACACACTGTACAGTGAATGGTTTGGTCTCCCGAGTAACTAAGCTGCCTGAGCAGCTCCATAGGCTCCAGTTCCTGCAGTGAGAGCCATCTACAACTACTTGCCTTCCTCAACTGGTGCCTTGGATTAACAACCCACCAATCTACTCAGGTGAGCCATCTAACTGTCGAACTTTCCTCACCCAATGTGAAGTAGTCTTTTCTTTTTAACCTCAGACCTATGCTTCAGAGAGAACTAAAGATGCTTTCGTTATTTCTCTCCTTGCTGGTTGGGTATAGGACTAAGGGGAACAGTCTAGGAAGCTGAGAATGTGTGTTGTCTTGATTTCTATTGTTTCAAGAAGGAGATAATCAAGACATCTGATAGGTCTGTGTTTGGAAAGGAAGCATCCCAACTACTGGCAACCCTCCTACAGGGTAGACAATCATTGGCAGAGTATGCCATTACATTCTGACCGCTCGCAGCAAACAGTTAGTGGAATAAAGTGGCATTGGCAGAACAATTCTTGGATGGTTTGACAGACATAATTCAAAGATGAAATGTACGCCTGTGATACCCCAGAGCTTTTGATGAATTGGTCTCCCTGGCCATTTGGCTGTATCATTGTCTTGACTTCAGACAACATGTTTAATGGGCTCATGACCAGAATCTGCTGAGTTACCTTCTGCTGGTTGGATCTTCTTTGCTACTGTCAACTATTGGCTTGCTTTGTTAGGGTTAGAAGGGCTACCCAGTTTTTAATCACAAAACTGAGCATCCAGTCAAATCTTGCTTAATAGGGCTAACTCCCACAATTGTCTATAACTAGAATTAATGTGTGGAGCACACCTCTATGTCACCCTTTTCCACTCTGGTTCTAATTGCTGGACCTTCCGCTGGTCCAACTGAGCCTGCACCCATGCAGGTGGGCAGACTTCACCTCACTGTGGAGGAGAAGCAACAGCAACTGTCTAAAGGGCTGTGTCTCTACTGTGGCGGGGAGGGTTAAGTTGTTTCACTGTGTCCAGTAAAAGCCAGCGCTGTCGCAGAATGCTGCTTGTCATGGTTTCCATCAAGAATTTCTTCCATTCATGCTCTGCAATTTTAGATTCTGGTGCTGAGGGTAACTTTATGGATACGACATTGGCACATCTTAAGGGGGTTCCCATTTAGTCTCTACTGGATCCTGTGTCTGTCTGCACTGGATGGCCGTGACCTAGCTGTCATCTCCCACATCACTGTGCTGCGAATGGATTTTTCAAGCTGCATCTCTTTTTATTCCCTCTGGTCGTATGGTTGTGCTGTTAACCTCCTGCCTAGTACTTCTTCTCCTTGAGGGCAGCTCTTCTCTTTGTCAGCTTTAGAACCAACAAACCATGGAGATGCGTTTGTCAGATTCTCTGGCAGCCGGCATCATCCGTTCCTCCCCATCTCCGGCCGCAGCAGGGTCTTCTTTGTGAAAAAGACGGCTCTATGCATCCTAGCATTGATTATCGAGGGCTTAATGACATAACCATTAAAAACAGGCACTCCCTTCCTCTGATGCCAACAGCCTTCGAGAACCTGCAGAGATCGAGGGTTTTCACAAAATTGGACCTGCTCAATGCGTACCATTTGGTCCAGATCAATGGGCAATAAGAGGTAGACAGACTTTAACACACTCAATGGGCATTTTGAATATCAGGTTCTTCTCTTCGGGCTGTGCAATGTCTTCCATCACTCATCAAAGATGTGCTGAGAGACATGATAAACAAATTTGATTTTGTGTACCTGGATGATATTCTCATCTTTTCTCCCTTTCTCCAGATGCACATTCAGCACATCAGACGAGTGTTGCAGAAGCTGCTGGAGATTTAGTTATTAGTCAAAGCAGAGAAATGCCTTTTCCATGCCCAATCAGTTATGTTCTTATGTTCGAATGGACCTGGAAAAGGTAAGAGCTATCTCCGACTGGCCGGATCCTGGCTCATGCAAGGCTCTAAAACAGTTCTTGTTCTTTGCGAATTTCTATATGCATTTCATTTGCAATTACAGCCAGGTAGTGGTCCCTCTGACAGTATTAACCTCTGCCAAATCCCAGTTTTGCTGGTCTATAGCTGCTCAAGCAACATTTAAAAAATAAAGTCTCGATTTACACCTGCCCCAGTCCTTGTTTTACCTGATCCAGCATGACAATTTGTGGTGAGGGTTGATACATCATAGGTGGGTGTTGGAGTAATTCTTTCTCTGATATGCCCTCAAGACAATAAGTTGCACCCTATTGCTTACTATTCTTACCATCTGTCTCCTGCAGCGCGGAACTATGAAATCAGTAACAGGGAACTGTTGACAGTGTGATTGGGTTTAGGGGGAATGGTGTCATTGACTGAAGGGGGCAGGTGAACCTTTTGTGGTATAGACAGACCACAGGAATCTGGATTATATATGTAGACAGCCAAAAGGCTGAACTCCTTTTTGAGCTGGAGGGCTGGTTGTGGCCATTTTGTGAGCTGGAGGACTGGAGGTGGCCATCTTGTGAGCTGGAGGACTGGAGGCGGCCATTTTGCAAACTGGAGGACAGGAGGCAGCCATCTTGTATACTGGCTGTGGTCTAGGCTGGTGAACAGGGGACAGGAGTATAGGTGATGCCATCATAACAGTGTTACTGGCTTCAAAGCAAGCCCCTTTGCCAGCGGTCAAAATCCATGCTGGATCCATGTTATGGCTGAGTCTTCTGTAACCAGGAATATGACACTGACAATAAAGGTGAGCATCCAAATGCAGGGTTTTATTAACAGGATGGTCTGGCAAGCAATGATCAACAAAGGAGCAAACAGATTCATGAGTGCAATCTCGAGTCGTAGTTGAAATAGTAGGCAAATGGTCAATAGGCAGGCAGCATACAGAAATAATTAAACAAAACAAAAGAAAGGTTCAAAACACGGAAGGCAAGGCAAGGAAAACGCATTGTAATGTCACTTAAACAGATAACAAGACTCAGCAATGAGTGTCTCAAAGTGAGCCATATATATATATATATATATATATATATATATATATGTGTGTGTTTAATCAGTACTTGAGCACAATCAGCTGTGTGTTTGCAATCAGTCAAGATCAGGAACAAGTTTTATGTGTATTGCATGATTAGGATCTGTAGTCCATAACATGACGGATTTGTGGTTTGTGTGAAAGTGAATGTTTACTAGCGAACACTTGTGGTTAGCTGGCTGGTGATCATGACACTGTGGGTGTATCTTGGGTGACGTATAAGTCATAGCGAGCTTGGAGTGCACAGCACATTAGTATCAGGAATCGAAGTTTGTTAAAAGTTGTGTTCAAAGTTTTGTTCGAAATTGGTTCATATTAAAATTCCGGTGAGCAACGAAGGTTGTGATGAGTGCTCCAATAAAACTCAGGATAAAAGAAATAAAAAGGAGCATAGCCGCCTTCCAGAAAAAAAAAATAATGCTAGGTGAAGCGAAAAGAAAACCTGGTGGCAAAGGCAGTAAAGTTCCAGCTCCGATCAAGAGTTAAAATCAAAACAACAATTGGGATAAAAGGTAAGCGATCGGTTCTTGTGACCTGCATAGTCTGCGTAATCTAGCAGAGAAGCGGCAGCTGGGTTGTGCCAGCATCCTCTCACACCTGATATCCCCTGTTCACACCCATGAGTGTCGAATCAGATTTTAGATGTGCCGGATCCGGCTTGTTCCGGCACAAATGAAGCCCTGTGTGGACCCAAAGAGCAGACTCAGTTTAATTTTGTGTAATGTATTATAAAAAACTCCACAGTGGCATCTCTTACTGCAGCAAATTATTATTATTTTTTTTTATATTTATCAAAAAATTATTATATCAATCTCTTTGACTCGTTGGAAGGAAACAATGCTTTATTTACAAATGTTTTTTAGAGAAAATCTGGTTTTGTGCATAATTCTATTCAGCATCTTTGCATGTTAACATACCCTTTTTTGTTTTTTTCACTCTAACAATGATGAAGTTTTACTCTTGAGATCGGGCAAGTCGGAGGAGGTCTGTGAGGTTTACCCACACAGCTCTTACTAACTGGTCTCCATTAAAAAAAACACAGGTGCAGTTCATCCACAAGCACTTTTAAACCAACAATGTGGAACCAACAAAACCCTTAGGGTACGCATTTACTTTACAACATAAACTGTTTATATTATATCCTGTTGGTTTTGTCAGACTGGATAAAATGCAGGGCTTAAAGCAGAGCTTTTTTAAATGGCTATCAAATCCTGTAAACCCTCTAAACTGCTACTTATTTAAGCATTACCTCATTTATATATGCTTGTTGCACAAACTACGCTTCCCAGAACATGCATACTCAGAACTGAGTCAGTATGTGAAAGTGGTCAGGTTTACATTAGTTGGCTATATCATTACTTTGGCATGTGATAAAGAGTTTAGCGTTTGAGTAATAACTCACGTGGACAAAAGGACATGACATCAGTCCAAAATGATCCTGAGCCAGATCCTATGTTAGGACTCTTCCAAAATATAAAGATTAAGGATTTATTTCCAATGTGAAGATCCAAAGTCAACATTGTTTTTCTTTACGTCAACCCATGCTTAAAGCACTGGTGCTGCTTTCTTTTCTGTGGTCCATATGGAGTTGAATCAACTAACTTTTGGCTATGAGAAAATCTCACTCTCGACCTGTAATATACAGAACGATGTCAGCTTTAAGCCTTCTGTCAGACAGCTGAATTTAGCTCTTAAATACCTTATTCGCTTGCACCATGCAGAGACAAATTGTCTTCAATATTCTGGCTGTATTTTACACAAGTTAACCTGGCTGCTTCTCACAATAGGGTATTGTTTGAAAAGCAGCTGGAGGTTTCTATAAGGAGGGAAATTTTTCATCTGCAGGATATCTCAAAGAGCCAAACTACCAGCTAACAGATTTTCATTTCTTATATTCCCCAAGCTTCGAGAGAGAGAATGAAAGACATTTTTTAGACCACACATGACTCTACACTGAAGTATTAACAAGAATAATGATGAGTCCACCTTGCTAATAAAAAAGTTAACTTAATCGTATTTGCAGTGCACTTTAAATCTTAAAAGTATATTTATAGAAAAACTACACTTACGGATAAAATTTAACTGAAATAAAAGGTCACTTAAAGGGACCGTTCACCCAATAAAAATAGATAACAAGGTTCAAATAATAATTATGTGAGAATGCATAAAAATAATGTAAAGATTTAATAAGTAACAATTTGTCACCTTGGAATTTTAAGTTCCCCTTCAGTTGGGGAACTTCAGTGCTATAAGTGGATTTGATCTTGGGAAAATCCACGTATGGGAGGATTCAGTTCAGAAGCCGCTTGTCTGAAAGAGTATTGAACGCGGTTCATGTTGTCATTGCGATGCCATGACCGTTGCACAGCTAAGATCGCGGCTAACTTTTGTAAGAGAGCGAGTCACCCCAGTTGCCTCCTGCTCTGTAGCGGGCGCTCGGGCAGATCTGAGGGTTCCAGCAGGAGATAATCCGCCGCCCAAGGGCTCGCGGACCTCTCGTTCCTCAAAGCGCTCCATCCAAGCTTCGGGCAGTGGGAGTGATCCGTCTAACCAGATGGTAGCTCTCACGCTCGCTGACACCGGAGATCAGATGTCCTCTGCGGCATCGGAGGGTGGGCTTTCACTGTCCGACGAAGATCCTGACCCGCTCGCCCCCTCCGGGTAGGTGAGCGCCGTCAAAATGGACCCTAAAGCGGACATGTTAGGCGTGCTTTCCGGGGCTGCTCCGCGGCCGGACCAACTGGATGGGTGCTACGTGGAGGACCAGAAGGCTAAGCCTTCGAAGCCTCTCATCCCCTTCTTGCCGGAAGCGCACAGTAGTCTTGGAGGGCACCTTTCTCTGCCCGTGCTGGGTGTCCCTCCGCCCTCACCGCCCTTGACGGTGGAGCTGCCAGGGGGTATGAGGCGATCCCGTCAGTGGAGCGTGCTATCGCGGTCAATCTTTGTCCGCGTGGCGCCCCTACGTGGCGGGGTCCGCCCTGTCTCCCGTCCAAAGCCTGTAGGTTGTCTGCCTCCCTCAGAGCCAGAGCTTATAAGGCTGCGGGCCAGGCTGCTTCTGCTTTGCACGCGATGCCCACCTACCAGCGCTACCAAGCGCAGGTACTGGCCGAGCTGCTCGAGGGCTGGTCTAACCCAGGCTTATTACATGAGCTGCGCACCGCGACCGACTATGCTCTTCGGACTACTAAGTCCGCAGCGTGTGCGCTGGGGAGGACAATGTCCACACTTGTGGTTCAGGAACGCCACCTCTGGCTAAACCTGGCCGATATGCGCGATGTTGACAAAGTTCGCTTTCTTGACTCGCCCATATCCCAGGCTGGCCTGTTCGGCGACACCGTCTGTGAATTCATCCAGGAATTCAAGGCAGTGAAAGAGCAGTCAGATGCGATGGGCAATGTCATCTATCGGTGTGGCCGTAAGCCTGCTCCGCCCGCCGAGCTATCCACCTCCGCTGCTCCTCCGCGAGGACACCTCGAAAGCAGGCAGCCCCCCTTGCCCAGGGTGCCGTTAAGTCCGGCAAACGGACTGCGAAGCGTCCCTGAGACAGGCCATCCGGAGAAGAGGAAACTTGCCCCGATTCCAAAGGTACTTTTCAGTGCCAGAAAACATCAATGAAAGAGCACTTTTCCCCTTCCCCGGATGTGAAAGCACGAACTCTGCCAGTCCGGGACGCGCTGCCTTCCGGCTCGCAGGTTCTACGTGCTTCGCCAGTGGCTCACGAGCGCTGGGGGGACGGTCTCCTTTCCCTTAGCCCTTCAGCCCCCTCTCCGGAGTCAGGGTGCGGAGTCAGGGTGCGGAGCCAGAGCGAATCGCGAATCTCCTCCAGCTCTTCCGCAGGACCCTCGCGCTTCCCGGATCAGCACACCCACTCCACCCAGTGGGTTGTACCCACCCACTCTGCTTGCCTGGTTAGCGCGGGCCAGCACAATCAGACTCGGTTACGCGATTTAGTTTGCGAAGCGGCCCCCCAAGTTCACGGGCGTGTATTTCTCCAGGGTCAACCCCCTGTCCGCCCCTGTCTTGCGAGAGGAGATTGCTGCCCTCCTGAAGGGTGCAATCGAGCCAGTTTTTCCAGCCGAGATGGAGAGTGGGTTTTACAGCCCATACTTCATCGTACCCAAAAAGAGCGGTGGGTCACGACCAATCCTAGATCTGCACGTTTTGAACCGCTGTCTGCACAAGCTGCCATTCAGAATGCTCACGCAGAAGCGCATTCTCCAATGACCTGAAGGACGCGTACTTCCATGTCTCCATTCTTCCACGCCACTGCCAATTTCTGCGGTTTGCGTTCGAAGGTCGAGCGTGGCAATACAAGGTCCTCCCCTTCGGGCTCTCTCTGTCTCCACGGGTCTTCACCAAACTCGCGGAGGGTGCCTTAGTGCCCCTTCGGCTCGTGGGCATCCGCATACTCAATTATCTTGACGACTGGCTGATTTTAGCCCACTCGTGGGAGCAATTGATTATGCACAGAGACAAGGTGCTTCAGCATCTCCGCCTATTGGGGCTTCAGGTCAACCGAGAAAAGAGCAAACTCGCCCCAGTGCAGAGGATCTCTTTTCTTGGGATGGAGCTGGACTCGGTCACCATGGTAGCGCACCTCTCCGAGGAACGCGCTCGCCTGTTGCTGGGCTGTCTGAGAGAGCAAACTAGTGGTCCCACTGAAGTTCTTTCAGAGGGTCCTGGAGCATATGGCGTCCGCACCCGCCGTTACGCCGCTCGGATTGCTCCATATGAGACCACTCCAGCACTGGCTTCACAATCGAGTCCCAAGATGCGCATGGCACGTAGGCACACACTGAGTCTCTGTTACTGCGCTGTGTTGCCGCGCCCTCAGCCCTTGGAACAACCCCTCGTTCCTACAGGCCGGTGTGCCTCTAGGACAGGCGTCCAGCCATGTTGTTGTTTCAACAAATGCTTCCAACACGGGTTGGGGGGCTGTGTGTCGCGGGCATGCAGCTGCGGGCCTGTGGAAGGGTGCCCAGTTGCATTGGCATATCAATCGTCTAGAGCTGTTGGCAGTGTTCCTCGCTCTCCACCACTTTTTACCAGTGCTGGAGCGGCAAAACGTGCTGGTTAGGACGGACAATACGGCAGCGGCGGCATATATAAACCGCATGGGGGGTATGCGCTCTCACCGCATGTCTCAGCTTGCCCGCCATCTGCACATCCTCGCCCTGATCTTTGGAACCTCCACGCGTGGTCCCTAGACACGAGGAAGACTTAGGTAACCTACTGAGTGCGGTGGTTAATACCATCACTCAGACTAGAGCCCCCTCCACGAGGCGCGCCTATGCCCTGAAGTGAAGTCTATTCACTAAATGGTGCGTCTCTCGCAGAGAAGACCCCAGAAATTGCCAGATCAGTGTTGTGCTCTCTTTTCTCCAAAAGAAGCTGGACAGCAGGCTGTCGCCCTCCACTCTCAAGGTTTAGGTGGCAGCCATCTCCGCTTATCATAACGCGGTAGCTGGCGGCACCGTGGGAAAGCACAACCTCATCATCCGGTTCCTCAGAGGTGCTAGGCGAATTAATCCATTCCGCCCCCCTCTCATGCCCTCTTGGGATCTCACCCTCTTCCTCACGAGCTTACGCGCAGATCCCTTTGAGCCACTAGATTCAGTATCTCTAAGATTTCTGTCCCTAAAGACAGCTCTGCTTGTCGCGTTGGCCTCCATCAAGAGGG